AGCCATAGCATATATTTCTAATATCTAATTTGAAAATATATAAAATATATAAAAATTGAAGTGGGTGTTAGGCACTATATCTATTTGAAAGAAAAATTGGCATCTATACTAGATATAAAGATACTAGGGTTAAACTAAATTTAGATAAGTAGATTTGAATAATTATATGAGTAGCTATTAATAGAAATCAAGCAAATCTACATTTGAAAAAAAATTAATGCCTCAACTTTCACAGCTCATATCTTGATAAATTTTAAAGCTATCTTGACAATTTAATATTCAAAAGAAAGCTTATGATCTATGCTTTCTTGTGAATATTAAATTATCAAAATAGCTTCAAAATCTATTGAGATATGAGCTATAAAAGTTGAAGTATTGATTTTTTTCAAATATCAATTTGCTTGATTTCTATTGATAGCCGCCCATATATCAAAAGTATTAAAACAAATAAAAAAAAAAACCTATTAGTTATTTTAATTTTATAAGTTTATAGAATTAAAATAAAAAAATTTTATTAAATTTAGATAGCAAATTGTTAAAAAATATTTATTAAAAGTTAAAAAAAAAAATTAAACTATAGCTTTTTTTTTTTATAGATATCTGGACTTTAAACAAATATTACTCAACACTTATCTAATTGAATTTGATTAAATTTTTTATTTTAATTTTATAAGCTTATAGAATTAAATAAAAAAAAATTTGATTAAATTTGATTTAATAAATGCTAAATAATCTTTGTTCAAAATTTTTTTTAATTTTTAATAAATATTTTTTAACAACCTGTTATTTAAATTCAATCAATTTTTATTTTATTTTATTTTATAAACTCACAAAATCAAAAAAGTTAATCAAATTTGAATAGTTGGTTGTTAAAAAATCTTTGTTTAAAGTTTAAAGAAACTCAATTTTTTGATATTTAAGTTTTGTTTTTAAACCTTTATAATGAATTCTTGATATCTATTAAACCAAATTCAATGAATTTTTTTTTTATTTTAATTCTACAAAGCTTTAGAATCAAAATAAAAAATTTACTAAATTTAGTCAAGTAGCTATTGAGAAATCATTGATAGAAGGTATAAAAACTTTTAAATTTATTATTAGGATCTGCGCCACTGAAATGTATAATCTGGCAAATTTATACGTACCATATTTTTTAGTATTGGCACAATAGTATAATTTTAAGTATCAAGATTCTAGATAATACTACAGGTATAATAATCATTATATTAAACTGCTAGCAGAATTTAATCTAAATTTATTACAACCAGTGATACAGTAGAATCGTCCCAATAAATTTTTTATCTTTTTATTAAGTTACAAATAAGCGTAACTATAATTTGTCGTATCTCTAAGCTATTCTACTGCATCACTAATTACAACATGAAGTTTATATTATGTATTCTTAGATTATACAAAATATTATATAAATTTATAATAAAAAATTGTAATGATCGTGAAATCGGATGATGGTGAAATTTTGGGGTCTCCTTTTGAAAATATAAAACCTACTGAAATCTACTTATACTTTTTTCTAAGCAACTCTAACCCTAAATATAATCCAATTCAAATAATTTTTTTTTTATTTTGTAGAACTCACAAGGCTCTACAAAATAAAAAAAAAGTTTAGTTGAATTGGATTACTGGATAGCTAGAAATTTAATTTTTATTTGATTTTTATTCATAGTCCCGTAAGGTCATTTTCAAGGCAAGACCCCATATATAAAAATGTAAATCACACCACTGGTTTATATTTTTTAATAGTTTTGCTAGTAAAATTTAGGGTTAGGGAGCTGTTATAAGTTAAGATAAGGGTTAATATCAAATGTAAAATTTAGATTAATAGTGTGCTGAACATTTTTACTTGGAACACCCGGCATTAACACCGCTAGTGTGATTTAGTAAAATCGAAAATGCAATTTATTTATTAAATTTTAGATTCTCCCTAAACGATTCATATCGATGATAGTTAAATACAGATTTGTAACTCATGACAACGAAAATAGCATTAAATAACTTGCTGTAAAAAAAAGGTTTTTTCTATAACAACTTTGCATCTATGAAACCATTAACTATAGTTATTGCAGTATTGTTTTTTAATAAATGAAACATGTTCTTAAAGCTAATTTGTTTTAAATCAAAAATTTATTCTAACCTTTTTTTATAAATTATTTTTGAAGTAGAATAACATTCCTAAATAAGCTAATCAATGAAGCAGCTAACGACGATAAGAATTGTGTTTCTGTAAAGGTAAACAAACAATCTTACAGTTTTAAACCTATGGCTCGTGCATAATCACTGCGTCAAACTACAAACATGTCATTTTATTACGGGTAGTTACTTAGAATTTTTTGTCATATATTTGTTGACAGTCGAAATGCAATTTCATATTTCTTTGGAGATTGGACTCGGAATAAAATTTGCATAGTCGATCATAAAAGATAAGGTTATCGTTACGTTTATTTACTGGATCACAAATCAAGTTATTGTCATATGGATTATTTTAAATGTGTGGGAACTAAATCGTATTTGTCCATATTAAAATAGATCCTTGATAGCTTAATTCATGCACTCACATAACTTATTAAGATTTGTTATTTTTGATGCATAAATATATATATACGTATATATAATGAAATAAATATATTTTTTTGATACATGTTTTTAGCGCGAGTTTATTGAATTATTTTGTCAAGATTTTCATTATTTACCGTTATTTAATATCTAATATGGACTGGTAAATACAATATTTGAAAAACTTTAAAACGCTTATCGTTATGGACGATCTTAATAAACTTGAATGAAGTTGATTCCAAATGACAGTGGTAATCAGTGGTAAGTAAAACTTTTTTTTATCATAATAAAATATATGCATGCACCTCACCACTAAATTAGACTTATTTTCAATATTTTTTTTTTACTCCGAATTGTTTTCCAGATTGCTCCAAATTTAGACATAACTTTTTAAATCCATTCCAACTTACCAACTTAGGTTGGGTTTTACGCCGGAGTGCACCAGGGTAAGCTGCTCCCTATATGCACATTTGTGGTTGAGTTGTATATATTTGATATGTCGGCAATTCGACAATACGTACGTATGTATCATTTATAAAAATCGAGTCAAAGAATATAATAATAATAATAATTCAGAAATTTGCAAATATATTATAAATGCATACAAAATATTCAAGTCTTGGCCTGATTTATTATAGTTTTATAGACTTGAGTTAATTAGATAGGTCTAGACTGGTCTGGTCTTCCAGATTGACCTTAAGACTAATTGTGGGTCTATCAGTCTAAGATTAGACCTAATACTCTATTTCTTATCATTCTTGTCAAACCTTTTGAAATTTGTTACTATGAGTTAATTAGAATTTTTAAACTTGACAGTAATTCAAAAAAAAATCTTATTAATACCATTTAAATAATTCTTATTGCGTGCTCTAAATAATATATTTATAAAATTTTTTATTTATAAAAAATTGGGGGTTTGGGATTGTCCGGGTTTGTCCAACGATATAGTACATATAACGATAATGGATGAATGGCGCTAAATTGAACATTTTGATTGTGATTGTTTATATCTACTGTAAATAAGATTTTTATGACTAAAAGCAGCAAGATCACCTCATTTCTATTTTATTGGTGTTATATAATTTTTTTTTTTGCGAATAATTTTCTATATTAACGGCTAAATTTGATATCAAAGACTTTAGAATATGTGTATTAGATAAAGAAAAAAGACGCACTTATTAAAGTGAGCCGCGTGGGGATGTATGCACGAATTGCTGAATTGAGTAAAATTATTGAATAAAATTGTGTAAACCGATTACGTGACCAATCATTCTTGATAAGAAATCTCAGATCAAAGAATTTTCATGATTGATTATAGATCTGGTGAGTAAATACAGTATAACCAATAATAGATATCTTAATATATAGATCTTAACGGGTAAAAAAAAAAAAAGAATTTTTAATAAATTTAATAAACAAGTATTAAAAATTTTTAGGATTCGTGTAAGTCAACAATAGATACACATAACATTTTAATCTTCCATGAGTATTTCACAGCATTTTTAATATATACTATAACAAAGAATGCCATCGGAAACATGCATTCCGGATTCTAACGCTTTTTTTGGATCATTACATAAGATCAGAATGTGTAATAAAGAGATTTTGACGCGATTCCAAAAGAAGAATAATGGTGTGTTCTTCTATTACGATTCACGAAACAATCCGTAGGTAACAAAGAAAAAATGAATGAATTTTATTTAACTTTGCCAAGCTTTTAGACAAGAGTTATTAAAGTATGATTAAAATTATACACTATTTAACGAACTAAAATAGTAAAAAATAGATATTTATTACTTTATGGAGTAAATAACAAATGCTCCATGGTTAAAATATGAGTAAAAAGTGAAGTGATACAAGCAAAAGGTCCACCTTTTTGGATCGAACACAAATATTACAAATATCATTGACTATTCAGGCACAGCCACAACTGAATCGGGAGTTTTTGTCCGTCTTACATTGTGAAACCTATTTTTTTTTAATGAAGGTATCGGTATGAATTTCACGGGTAGATCTGAATCTTATTAACAAGTGTAATAAGTGTAATTATATATATTCAAAAATATATTCAAATATATTCAAAGAAATTTATATTTTTCTTGAGCAAACTCCAATAAAATTATTTTGATCTACTATAACTAGCATACAAAGCTCATAAAATATATTAACATAAAAAAATAGGACTTTTTTGGAATACAACTTATTCAGTTATCGTTATGAGTTGAATATACAGTATATTTGTTTATTATTATTATAATAAAAAGATCGACCTAAAATGGGCATAAATAGAACAGCGAGGACGCAAGATGAGTTGATCAGCAAAAGATGCATGCATAGGTTTTGAGTCCTAGACAAGTGTGAATAAATACCATACTCTCCTTATTCATTCGAACAACGGAATTTGCACTAGGTTAAAAAATTCCCTTAGGATGCCAAAATTATCTTCAAATAAAGTTTTTAAAGAACAAGAATATTTAGAGGGAATGGATTCTAATAATCAGCCATGCAAAATCGTAAAGCCGCCTCCATCTTTTAAGTTACCTTTTCCACCTGAAATTAATGCGGAAGATTTGATTAATTGTAAAACACGTAAATTACCCTCTAAACCTCCCAATGCATTTTTCATATATAGAAAAGTTTATACAAAAGAATTAATCGCTAGAGATTTTCGTTTTAAAATGACCGATGTATCTCCATGGGTATCAAGTTCATGGAAAAATGAATCTGATAAAGTACGAGAAAAATATAAAGAAATTGCTAAGGGAGTACGTCAACTTTACAAACAAACAAAGTTAGAATCTGTTGTGAATACGGATGAACCCATGGTTGAAAATAAGGAACAAATTACTGATCCACAACCTTTACCGTTACCTTCTCCACCTTTAACAAAAGTTAATTTACTAACTCCTGACTCATCTCAAGATTCTTTATTTGATCAATTAAACCAAGAACAAACGTGCCTTCAAGAACCGGAAAAAAATCAGATTGTCGAAGATTTTAATTCCAATGAATTGGATCATAATGTTGATAATCAAGAATTTCAAATGACTAGTTTCATTGATGGTTTAGACATTGAACAAACATATCGATATAACGAATATTTTGGACTTACATTCCCACCACCATACGCTCCATATTATCTTACTACAAATAGTCAGATAACTACAGAACCTTGTGGATTGGATCTTTTCCTTGAGAATCCCAATGTCGAATGGGATTTTGGAGAGAATGAATTTTTAAGTTTTTAAATTTTTAAGTCTTTAGAAAAAGACATATTGACGATATCAAAAAAATGGGTTATATTTTTTTTATTTTATTGTGAATACCAATATGGGATATACAAATATGGGATCAAAAGAAAATCATTATCTTATGCTATATATATATAAAGTTCTGTTAATACTTGTAAATAAGTATATATTTAACTATTGGAATTTGTAGGTTTACAAGCTATAATATTTCATGGTTTATTCCATAGTTTATTCCATGGTTTATTCCATGGTTTATTCCATGGTTTATTCCATGGTTTATTCCATGGTTGTGGTTGTGCGCATCAAGTATTTACAGAGAAAATTATGCTTTATGATACAAGGAAAATCAAGAAATATATATATATATATGTCAAACGGGTAGACAACATGTGTTTATAGTTTTTTTTTTTGGCTTTTTTTTTTTTTCTTTTATGAATTATATATATATATTGATCTTTAACTGTTAAGGACAATTTTCATTTACGCATAAACATTTCGTTAGGAACCCTTGCATTTAGGACATTTTTTTTTAGTTACGTACGTACAATAGTTGAATTCTGTGGGTTCAGTCACGTGATGGTTTCACTAGACTACGTACAGTACGTACAGTGATAAGCAATAGATGGCAATAACTCCTTTAGGTTAACAAAATTAGGTTAACAAAATTAGGTTAACAAAATTAGCGAATCGGAATGTTTTTTTTAGATTCTTTGACCAATTTTAATAACGCATAAAGTCTCTTTAGTTATTGTTCTTTGAATAAAAATGTTTATAAAAATTTCAAGTTTTTTTTTACCTTTATCATGAATGAATGACAAGGAATAACCGCGCATTTTTCGCATTTTTACATAAGTGATTATATCAGCACAGTCATCGTCTTATTACCGATAGAAAAAAAACCAATAATATACCGTCAATTTAAATCACATGGTTTTATACGGATAATCAAAAATAAAGTTTAATTTGTTATACCATCAATAAGGATGGCATATAAACAGACATGTAGTCCCAATGAACAATGTAATTTTTTCATAGACAAAGGTAAATAAATTTTGATTAAGGCAAGTCGTACAAGTACAGTTCGAAAATCGTCACGTTTTCACTCCCAATCGTGTCGCAATTTTGAAATAATTCTAATTCTATACAACAATGATACGCGCAGTAAGTTTTTTTTTTAAAAAATTGACCATATTAAAATTAATATATACTATTTAACTATTTAATAAAACATTCATCGCTACTTTATTCGTAAATAACCTTAACAAAATCAGAATTGCGTGTATGACAAAGAATGAATTGAAAAGAAAAAACTCACCGCGATGGTGCCACTTCAATCATCGGGGCATTCATGTATATACGCCCCTACATTATTAATACGCTTGGTCATGTATTGATCATGCTTGAAAAATTTATATGCGCGTATGAAAAAAGCACATGGTAACATGAATTATCCGCAAGATTGCTTGATTGGTTCAGGAAATAAATTACGTGCAATCTTCATCAGTGAAAAAAATGTTTCTGTAATATCAGTTAACATCTGAGAATATTCATTAAAAAGAAAACAAACAAACCGAAATAAATGTTCAAAGAAACGATTTCATTGGTTCTTTGGATTTTTTATATTTTGTTATTGGTGTTTAAAAAAGAAAAACCAATTCTATCTTCAGCAATTGATTTATCTTTCTCTAAACTTCGCTTGCACAAGAGATAACAACAATCAAACAAAAAATTCATTTGTACGCTTAGGTTTTATGAATTTTTGATACCAATTTAAAATTCTTCCTTATTTGTTCTTTGAAATAATATTTATTTGCGTATATATCAGGTCCCTCAATGACTATTCTAAATATGAGTCTTCCAAATAGAGTTTTTGTGTTGTTAATTAAAAAAAGCAATCGAAAAAAGTGCTCGTTTTATTACAAAGAATAGTCGAACAAAAAAAGATTTGATTCCAATTATTTACTTACCAAGAGAATTTGTACTTCCCAAGAATTTGTATTTCGAAAAAGGAATAACCTTAATTTTTCCCTTGACTCCCTTTTTTGTCAAAAATTTGATAACGCTAATTCAGTAATTTGTAAGCCACTATTAAGGTCATATGGGGTGATTTCAATAGAAACAGCCCATTTTTACAATTTTTAAAAAATGAGATTTTATTATATTCATATTAATTTTGACATGATAGACATTTTTCAATTATAAATGAAAGTCGATTTGCATAATAAAAAACCAAGATAATGCAAAAGAAAAATT